CAGGCCGGCCCTTCGCCCCGAACGGTCTGGGCGCGGCCGCTGTCGGAGACCAGCTCCAGCCATCCAGGTGTCTGCAGGCGGGACAGGCGGGACCCTAGTGTGGGCAGGCGTCGGCGAGCCGAGATTCCTGAAAAGGGGAGAAGGAGAAAAAGGGGGAAGGGGGCGAGGAAGACGCGGGGGTCGGAGGTGGGTGCGAGTCTCCCGCTCTGCCTCCAGCAGAGGCTTAGTCTATACGTTGGAGCAGGCAGTGGGATGACACGAGCTGCGCGGAGAGGTCACACTCATCTTTTTTGTTCTAAGAACAGTTGAGGGTCGCATTGCCCTTTAGCTGAGATAGAACATTCCAAAATCAATCAAGGTTATGACTAATATTACTCCAGTGGAGAGCAACTGAGACAGAAGCCCCTGAAACCTTATCTGCTGCTTCATGGGTTTTTGCTTTTCTGCCTGAGTCATCCTGGGAGGCAGAAGAGGAAATGCCTTGCTGGTCAAATCTCTGAATAGGAGACACAGGTGGATTTCCTTACCTGGAGACTACATAGTGGAATCCTGCAAGACTAGTGGAAGACTTGTGTGGACTCCTCAAGGTGCAGCAGGTGGGAAACTTGACTAGTTTAAAAACAGGCAACTGGATGCATTTCCACATCTAAAGGCCAGACAGTAGGAAGTTTGAGTAATTCTGTAGAAGCTGAATAGAGGCCAGGTGAGATAGTGGAGGGATGAGATTTGGGTTTTCCTCCACCCGGCAGTGAGAGACTTTGCAGAAACGGCCCTTTTGCGTTTATTGATCAGCCAGTAGTCAAGTCACTTGGCTTCAGGGGAATGTCTCACCCCGGGGCAGGCTTGCCTGTCAGGGCAGGCGGCCTTGTGCGGCCGAGGCAGCCAATTGTAAGCTGAACGTTGCTCAGAATAGTTTGATATTCCGTCATACAAAAAGGGAGGCCCTGACATAAGCTAGCGTGGAGAGTCCGATTTTTCAGAGCAGTCCCCCTCCGTCCAGACCGTGTCTGGCGACAGAGGCTGCCCAGCTCGTGTCAGGTCGCGCTCCCTGTCCCGGCGGGTGGGTGCGCAGGGGGCGGCAGAAACCGGGCCCCACGCGGCCCTCAGAGATGCGGCCACCGGTGGGCAGCAGGCTGGTCGTCACCCCCGGCAGTCCTCGCCCGTGGGACGCCGCCGCCCCGCCGCCTTCGCTCTCGGGGCGGGAGCACACGAGGTCTGTCTCCAGGGACTCCGAGGCGGGCTGCGGCTTTGCTGGCCAGTCCAGGCTGCCCGGGCCCCCGGGGGTCCGTCGTCTTGCCGAGGCTGCAGCCTGAGCCCGGAGACTTCCTCTTCCTGCTGTGGCCGAAGGCTCGGCTTTACTTTCCTCTTCATTACAAATAAACTTCATTTTCAGAAACTAATTTCAGGGACGGGGAGGCTTATAGGTTTCGAGCAGGGC